TTAGATGATTTGTCTTTAGATGAGAGTAAATATATGAGAGATATGGCTCTCAAGATGAAAAAGAAATTTGACAAATATTGGGGTACTTGTAATCTGTTGATTTCCATTGRTGHTGTTTTAGATCCTAGATACAAGATGAAGTTGGTTGAGTTCTCTTTTAGTTCCATTTATTCAGAGGATGAGGCACCTAAGCAAATGAAAAGTGTTCAAGATACTCTTACTAAAATGTTTGAAGAGTATGTTGAACAACATAAAGCGGCTAATGTTGTTCAAATGAGTAGTGCACCTGACAAAAGTGAGAGTGGAGTTAAGAGTGGTTATAACAAGTTAAGTTCTAGGGTTGGTATCAAGAGTGGCACGGCAAAGTATGATCAACATATCAGAAGCGTTGACACTTTTGCAAGTGTGAAGTCAAAGTTAGACGTTTATTTAGAAGAAGGCGTGTACATTGGTGATTCAGGTGCATATTTTGATGCCTTGGAGTGGTGGAAGGAGAAAAATCTGAAGTTCAGAATTTTGTCTAAAATGGCTGCTGATGTTTTGGTAATTCCGATAACTACTGTTGCTTCAAAATTAGCTTTTAGTGCTGGTGGGAGAGTTATCGATGCTCATCGCGCCTCTTTAGGGACGAAGACGGTAGATATGCTCATTTGCGGAGCTGATTGGTATCGTCATCATTATGGACTACACAAAAAGAAAACCAAGGTAATTTGCTTAATCTTATCACTTATGAATTTATGATACTTGTTTTCTTACAACAACTAATAATTGTTTTGTTTGTTTGTTGTAGGAAACTGATGATATAATATATATTGAACTTCCATGAGGTGATAACTGACAAATGATGATGAGCGGATTGTTTTTTTTTGTTCAAATGACAATGGTGATTTGTTTTTTTTAAACTATGGACAATTGATGTGTAATAGTTAACTGAATGACAAATAGTGGTGTTCGTTTGTTTAAGTTCATTTAGGCATGTTCGTTTATGTTCGTTTATGTTCATTTAGGCATGTTCGTTTATGTTCGTTAAGACTGTTCGTTTATGCTCATTTAGGCATGTTCGTTTATGTTCATTAAGATGTTCGTTTATGTTCGTTCGTTTACGTTCGTTTAACTTGTTAACGAACGAACATAAACGAACACGAACATATCGGATTTCTAAACGAACGAACACGAACACAATTATTTTCGTTCGTTTACCGTTCGTGTTCGTTCGTTTGTTCGGTTAAGTTAAACGAACGAACACGAATAAGCCTCCGTTCGTGTTCGTTCGGTTCGTTTACAGCCCTACACATACCCATCCCTCTATATTCCGGTTTAACGAGAAATCCCGACCGATGGACCGGGGCCCCACGGGGTCTGGGCCCATTCCCTTCTTATTTGGAAACGGAACGGATGCTATTCAAAGAAACTACGAGTAAAAAAGACGTCACTGAATAAAGCAAAAAGGGAAAGGCAGCAGTGCTGTTGTTGACCCCCCCCTCCAGTCGTGTACGCCATTCGACTCGATTCGGTACGACATAGCTGATCGCGATCTGGCTCAAAACTCTCTCATCCCATCTCCAACACCTCCATCTTTTTCCTACTTCTAGAGAGAGAGAGAGAGAGAAGCCGTCCAGTTAGTTCGTCGACTCATGCATTTCTGGAGGGTGATAGTTGTTGGTGCAAATCTATTTCATCCTGCTATAAATACTAGGGAAGAGAGAATTGTGGTCAAGTGGTTTTATGACTTATGAGGATTAGTTCTTTGAAGAAATGGAGTTTGTGGGGAGAACATTGAAGAAAGAATTTAGAGGATTTGGGGTTTTCTCCGGAGTAGTGAAATCCTACGATTCCGCATCCGAGTTCTTCGAGATCGGCTACGAAGATGGTGATTCGGAAGAAATTGAATTCTCCGAGTTGGCTGCTCTTTTGGACGTAGACGGAGTTCTTAGGGATCATTCTCCATCTCTGCTGGCCAATAAACCGTCTAGGGTTGGGAGAAGACCTAAGAAGAGGCGGAGGGTTCTTGGCTCATCAAATTCAGGTAATGAAAATGATTTTTCATCTTCTCTTGGTAATGCGGTGACGATTGATGATAGTAATTTGGATACTGTTGTAGATGGGGAATTAAGGAATGAAGCCATTATTGTTGAGAAATTGACTAAAAATATGGACTTTAGCGGTAACAATAACAACAATATTAATAGTAGTTGCAAGAATGCGAATTTGAAAACTGGTGGTTTGGAATTAAACTGCGGTTTGAATAGTAATGCGAAGGGAAATGATGATGGAATTGACTTGAATTTGGATTTGAATGAAGAAAACCGTTGGGAATCAAAAAAGGGGGACGATTTAGTGGATAAGTCTATCATGAAAGAGCGTTGTTTTGACTTGAACATGGACTTCGACGATGTTCATAATAAGAATCAAGATGTTGACCCTGACGGGTGTCTGAAGGGGAGCCATGGAGAAAGTCATAAGAGAGAACATTCTGGCGGAGAAGTTGAGGGAACTCAGATTGAAGGTGCTGCACTGAATGATTCCCATTTGGAAGTTTCTGGTGGTACTGATCTGCAGGGAAATCTTTCAGGCACCGGTGACATTGCAGTTGAAAGTCGTGGAGCTTTGGGTGCTAATTTCTTAAATAATCAGAATTCTTCTGACAGTCAAACAAATAATGTCTCCATTGCTGGTGTTTCACCAGTTCTTGAATATCATGGCACTTTGGGGAAAACATACCCAGGAGGTAGAAGAGGTAGAAAGAGAAGAAAGCTTTCAGATTCTCCAAACACTGCAGCAGGAAGTGTGTTAAGAAGGAGTGCTAGGAGGCGAGCTAAGTTTTCTGCTGAAGATCATGATTCTAATGCCACTGGATATGATGTTGCTGATAGTGCAGTGCCGTCTCCAGTTGCGAGTGCAGTTTCAGAGGACCAGCCTACAATCTCTGGATGTGAAGAATCTGAAGAGCCGAGTATTCTTCCTCGAAAGCTGGAGTTACCACCATCTACAGGAAATATAAATCTAGATGGCCTTCCAGTACTTGATCTTTTCTCTGTTTATGCTTTTCTGAGATCATTTAGTACAATATTATTTTTAAGCCCATTTGAGTTGGGGGATTTTGTGGCATCTATTAGAAGCAAGTCTCCTAGTTTATTGATTGATTCTATTCATGTTTCTCTTTTACACACTTTGAGGAAGCATTTAGAGTTCCAATCAAGTGAGAGTTCAACATCAGCTACTAATTGCCTAAGGTACTCCTTTAGTCATTTTGCTCCCTGGCATATGCATCTTTTCCTTTATTCAAGAACTTCTCTTTGTTCTGTGCTATCTATGTTTTTTGTTTGTTCATTTCTATAAGATTTCTATTATAGGGATCTTAACTGGAATCTTCTGGACTTGATCACTTGGCCCATCTTTATGGTTGAGTACCTACTTATGAAACCTGGTTTTGATCTTGCTCGCTTGAAGTTGCTTAAGATTGACTATTACAAACAGCCAGAATTTGTGAAGGTTGAAATATTGCAGTATATCTGTGATGATGTGATAGAAGGGGAGGCTATAAGTTCAGAGCTTAATAGGAGGACACTGGTAGGAGAACCTACTATCACCATGGAGTCTGATCAAAATACAACGTTGGTGGCTTCTAAGAAAAGGAGGGCAACGATGGCTATTTCTGGTAGTTCATGCATGAGTGAGGAGGCTGTTGATGAAACCGCAGATTGGAACAGTGATGAATGCTGCCTCTGTAAAATGGATGGCAATTTAATATGCTGTGATGGCTGCCCTGCGGCATTCCATTCGAAGTGTGTAGGCATTGCCACTAATCTCTTGCCAGAGGGCGACTGGTATTGTCCTGAGTGCCTAGTTGACAATAACAACCCTGGCATGAATGTGGCGAAGTCAATCCGAGGAGCAGATCTATTGGGAGTTGACCCGCATGGACGATTATTTTATAGCAGCTGTGGTTATCTTTTGGTGTAAGTTATTTCATATTTGTCTTCATTATTGACAGTGAAGTAATTTTCTTTTCCAAATAAGATTGTTTTCTAGTTCTGAACTTACATTGATCTATTGCTGGAATATTGGGCTACACTGAGCTGAATCCCTTAGACTAGTGAGATATAATGTGAGCAATCTACATATTTAACTTCCTCGATGCAGATTCATCCGACATGGTTTGGTTATGTGATCCTCAGTTGCTGTTCAAGCAGTCTAGTTTTACATATACCCAACCCCTGAGACTACTTTTGGCTTATTAGTACCTCTAGACTGAGGGGCCAGGGCCTAGTTGGGTTTCTATTTCTTTGTTATGCAAGTTTTTTGCCATCACCTGTAAGGATGTTAGGTTTTATCATGCGTTACTAGTTTCAATAATCTCTTCTCAAGCTAACAGTTCTTGTTTTCCAACTTCTGCATATACCTTTTTTGATTCTTAACTTTTCTGATGTACATGTGGGAGAAGAAGTCTTGAGATAAGCATGCTCATTCGTTGTTCTGTGAATTAAATTCCTCTGAAAAATGATTTTATGAATCTTCTTTCCTAATTCCTGCACATGCCTTTTACGTGGGTGAATTTGCAGGTCAGATCTTTGTGATGCTGAAACCTCATTTCATTACTATCATATGAATGACTTGACTGCTCTCATCAGTGCACTGAATTTATTGAATGGTCCATATAGAGCTATATCAAATACCATCACCAAATACTGGCATTTATACAAGAAATGCTATGTAGCAAAAAGTAAAATGGATTCAGCAAATGCTTCTTTAAGTGTGGAGCCTCTTTTGAAGGTCCACATGCCTAATACTTATATGGCAACCGTGCCATGTGAATCTTCAGAAATTTGTGCAAAGGAGGAGACCCTCACTGAAGAAAAACCAGGACACGATGGCTCTAACATGGTTAATGCAGGAACATTGGCTACAAAATCTGCCAAACTAGAGAGACCATTAGCTCCTTCTGCAGGATCTTCTGAGATTTCTGAGGCTTTTGTGGGCACTCAGAAATTCTTAAAATCCGGATTAGATTCATTAAATGGATCTGCTGGGGTTCCTCAGAACCCTGCTTCTGTTGGAGATCCTTATTCAACACCATCCAAAATGAATGTTGAACAAAGAAAAAAAGTTGCTTCTTCAAACTACGGCTGTGACTTGTCTAAAACAACCACAAGGAAAGGCATGCCTCAGCAGTTAGAAATTGGTTATCTGAATTTATATAGCTTTGCTAGAGTGGCATCATCAGTGGCTGGAGAATGGACTCGTAAACCATCAGACAAGATCTCTCAAACACCTACGAAATCACTGGAGGAATTGATTTCTGCACAGATGAAAGCCATATCGAGGACATCTATTGACTTCTGTTGGTCAAATATCCAGAATCTAAGTGTGGATGCTAGGAAAGAAAAATGTGGCTGGTGCCTCTCTTGCAAATTTCCCACTGATGATGGGAATTGCCTATTCGTCATGAATAACACTGATGTCTTGGGAAGTTATACAAGTAACCTGCTAGGTTTTGGTTCAAGAATAAGTAGGAAGGATCGTCTTGTTGATGTCATGTGCCATATTCTTTGCATTGAAGATCGCTTGCATGGTCTTCTCTTGGGTCCTTGGCTCAATCCGCATTTCCCAAAGCTTTATCGTAAAAGATTTCTTGAAGCATCTGATATCGCTTCAGTTAAAGACCTGTTGCTCATGGTATGAGTTCCTTGTTATTTGCTTGAATACTACCTAGAACTGCAGGTGCATATCAAATGAACAATCAATGGGTTATTTTTCTATTGGGGTGTAAGCCTGTGTAGGTAGGGCTGTAAACGAACCGAACGAACACGAACGGAGGCTTGTTCATGTTCGTTCGTTTAACTTAACCGAACAAACGAACGAACACGAATGGTAAACGAACGAAAATCTTTGTGTTCGTGTTCGTTCGTTTAGAAATAAGGTGTGTTCGTGTTCGTTTATGTTCGTTCGTTAACATGCTAAACGAACGTAAACGAACGAACATAAACGAACATAAACGAATAGGTTAAACGAACATAAATAAATATTATTTGAATTCAAAATAAATAAATAAAAGATTATATATTAAATTATATATAGACGAACGTAAACGAACGATAAATAAACGAACGTTCATGAACATAAATGAACGAACGAGACTCTTGTTCATGTTCGTTCGTTTAACTAAACGAACAAAAAAATTTGTTCATGTTCGTTCATTTATTAAGTAAACGAACATAAACGAACTTCCCGCCGAACGGTTCATGAACGGTTCGCTGAACGTTCGGTTCGTTTACAGCCCTATGTGTAGGGATCCTACTCATTTACTGCAATTGTTTCAATTTGTTGGTTTAGCATATAGACATACATTTCATTTACTCTTATGCTTGCTTTACTAATTCATATAATTCTGGCATGTGCCATCACATGCTAGGTCCTATTTCGTTCTTACTTTAGTACCTTAGGACGAAATTTTTATTTTAAAATTTTTATTAGTCTCTTCATGCAATTAAAAATATGCTTTCTCTTGCTTTCATATGATTTTCTTTCTCGTCTATTTTCTTGCAAGACCTCTATTTTAAGAGTGTAATGAAGGTAAATTTTTTGTTTCAACTTCTTTAATCTCACCGAGACGATCCATGGTTGAATTTTAGATAAAGCTCAAGAGGAAGCCATTTTCTAAATCAGCATGTTAGGTTTGTATATTGCATACTTTTTTTAATGTAGCATGTTTTCTCCCTCTTTTCTTGATGTAAATTATCTTAGATTTACTGTAAGAGATATAGTACAAGCCTTTGTATAGCAAACTAATGTAGGCACAAAAAAACCCATAAGAAATTATGAAGTTGTATAACTAAATAGATAAGATAAAGAGGTGAAACATCCTAAGGTTTCAGCCTTTCAGGATATGGTGTCTTTTCACATGCTTCTATGACTTTCCCCATGTCAACCTTGGCTAATCTCTACCTCTCTTATGACTTTCCGTTGGTACAAGTCTCTTTTTCTTGCCAGTCATACATAGGTCCATATAAGAGATGACTAAGAAATTGTTTGTTTTTGTATAATATAATGGGTTCACTTCTCCAGAAGCCCAAGTTTCATTCCAGGTCAAACTGGTGGGAATAAAAAGACATTCCCATTTTCATTCCATATCATTTTCATTTTCATTCCCATTTTCTTTTCCCAACCTGAACCAAGCAGCCCCTAAATCATCAGAGGCGATATTGCATCAACTTACCTCAACCAATGCTCCCCACTATTTAACATATATTTTATTTCCAAGGAAATCCCTCAAGAGGATGTTAACAAGCAACAATAGAAGCGAAGGATGGATTCTGAGGTTTAGTGTGTAGGAGTAGATGTGGGGCAGCCAAGGTTTCCATGCTTAGCAAACAAGGAAAGCCTATCCTGGAAACCTGAGAGAGGGAGGGGAATTTATATCCTTCTCACTAAATAAAAGTAACCTAGGTGCCACACCTCCACAACAGCATTGGCATTTATGCTGACTCTTCTTGTATACCTGTCTTTGGGTGCCCAGCATTCTATCTTGCAAATCATAGCAGTCCACCATCTAATGGAACTTATATTCTGTGTATTAATGTGTTAACATGCTTACCTCATTTTATGCTTCTACAACTCGGTTGAAGTTACACTTCACGTGCTTAGTTCTTTTCTGGATTTATCTAAAACCCTTGCTATGCAAGGTTTCTGTCCACACCCCAAATTCGCATTAACACCGACAGTATTTGGTTTTTAGAGTTGGCCCTATTTTCTTGTTCTTTTCTTTGCCTTTACTTCTGTTTTACATCTCATTATGGTGTTGGGGTGCTTAGAGGTCCATTTATTTGGCTCAGGATAACAGACATTTTTACTTCTGACACATTACAAGCATACGTTGCTTCCTTGTCATCCTATAGGTGGTCACTTTGAGCTTCACCAAGATTTCAATAAAACAGATTGGTTTGATGCCTATTTTCTACTTACCTACTCCCACAAAAGGAAAATACCGAATCGAGGGTCCATACTTTCCCATTTTTCATATTCTCTTATATGAATAATAAATATTGAACCAAGACTAAACTACAGGTTAACTGGTTAACAAATAAAGCAATATTTACAATCCGTGTGACTTCTATAAGTACCACAAGTTGACATTGCTTTTGTTGTGCAATAGCCAATAAGGAGTATCTTGGAATGAGTCTTCCCCTTAGTTTGATGCTTTGATTCTGTAGGCATGCTATTGCCAACATTTTATTTCATCCGGTACAACCATCCAAGTGGACTGACACGTATATGGGAAATAGAGAATCAGTCTTCAATAAAGCTCTAGGCTGTTCAGGACAGTAGGTCCCTGAAAATGGACTTGGGGGTGGAAACTGGGATTCAGTTGTAGGAGTTGCGGTGTCATGTGTTCTATATTTCTTCCTTAGCAGTCTAGAGTGTTAATAGCTACAAAAGAGTTTGTTGGAAGTGATCTGCATTCTTGGCATCTTTCATCTTTAGTAATTAATATGGAAATTCAAAAAATATTTTACTTACAATCAAGGTTGCGGAATCGGGTTTCGAGGCTGTCCGAGGCGTAAGCCATGAGGCAGAAATACATACACCCATATATATATGTACACACTACATAATACCAATATGCATTCCACTGCTTATACACAGAAAATATATGCAATCTATACAACATACACACTGGAGTACTAGACACTATATATATATATATATAATACTAAATTAGATATAGTAACAAAGAAAAAAGATAGTGATCTATTAATATATATATGTGTGTGTATGTATGTATAAATTAATATTCTCACAGCTCATAAAGAAAAAAAATAATAAAATAGCAGCAAAGTGGGAGTAGAAGTAGGACTCTGACATGTAGTAGGGACTAAATATAAAAGAAGTGTATTCAGTAGCATCACATGCTTTTTAAAACCATGCTTACAATTATCTTGAGCCTTTTGGCATGCAGCAAAGATTGCTTAGATGAAAATATGATTATCGGCTATGGAAGTCTCTTCTACCTGTTTTGGCATAAACATTGTAACTGCTAGCATGGGATATAATGCATGAAAAAATAACAATACTGAGATCGCTCACGCATAAAAGTCAGGCAAATGTTTCTCACAACAGTTTACACATCCTCATCTTTAGAACCGGGATGGATAGTGATCTCAAGCTTTTTAATCGTTACATGAAATAAGCTGTTGCTTGATTTATAGTTTTTGAAGCATTTCGCTTCTGATTTATGCTACTTTTGCGTTCAGTTAGAGTCCAATATTCGGTTACTTGCACTTTCGGATGAGTGGCTGAAACATGTGGATTCGGTGGTTACAGTGGGCTCTGCTTCTCATTTTGTGACATCTAAGCTTCGTATGCCCTCAAGAAATGTGATTGGAAGGAAAAGATCTAGGTCTTTGGATACAGAGCCCCATGCTTCTAAAAATGCATCCAGTGGACTGGGTCTATTCTGGTGGAGGGGTGGTAGGCTTACACGAAAGCTTTTCAGCTGGAAAGTTTTGCCTCACTCGTTGGCTTGCAAAGCTGCCCGACAAGGTCGATATCGATTTAACTTAATTATGTTATTTCTATTTTCTCGGATAATTCCAAATGTATAATTACTCTAAATCATTTTTAGTTTTGAATTTTTTAGGTGGGGGCAAGAAGATTGATGGTATATTATACCCTGAAAATTCCGATTTTCCAAAGAGAAGCAAAGCTCTTGCTTGGCGAGCTTCTGTGGAGTCAGCAACTACTGTGGAACATCTTGCTCTTCAGGTATCTTCACTGCTTCTTTAGTTCTTATTTTTGTTTTTTGGTTCAACAATGTACTTGGACCCTTTGCCAAATTGTTAAGCAAACTGTATACAAGTGGCTTAACTTTCCTGATGGAGCTCCAACAAAATTTGAACTTATAATGATTTTTAGTACGATGGAATCATGCCAACAATGCTTGTTTTCTAAACCTCATTTAGTGTTTAGTGAGCAATTGTATTTTGTTTTTCTTCTCAGGTTAGGGAATTTGATTCTAACATTAAATGGGAAGAAATTGAGAATACCAGTCATCTTGCAAAAATGGATAAGGAATCTATAAAGTCAATGAGGTCATTTAAAAAGTCTATAATTCGGCGCAAGTGTTCAGAAGGAGCTGCTGTGAAATATCTTCTAGATTTTGGCAAGAGAAGATTTATACCTGATACCGTTGTAAAACATGGATCTAAGCTTGAAGAGTCATCAAGTGGAAGGAAGAAATATTGGCTGGAAGAGCCCTATGTTCCTTTGTTTCTTTTAAAAGCTTTTGAAGACAGAAGAATTGCATTCAAGTCCAATAAGACGAGTCCGGGTAGCCTTCCAGTTAACCGAAGAATGCTGATGCCCTCTAAGAAAGTAGGTTTCTCATACCTTTTTTCCAAAGCAGAAAAACCTGAGAACCATTGGTGTGCGCATTGCAATAAGGATGTTCCTCTCAGGTACTATGTTTTTATCATTGCTGATCTGAACTCTGTTTTTCTTAACAAAGTGTCCAACTTTAAAGTGATTTTTCATGTCCACTATGGATAACCCTTTCACTAAGTACTTTAATTTGTTATTTTTATGTAATAAGAAGTATATACAATCAATCTAACTTGACTGTCAAAACAAATTTTAGTACATCCTTCATGGATCTTAAATGGAAGAGCATGGAAAAAGAGTTGAAGACTAATTATAAAGAGACCACCATCAGCTACTAATGGACTATAACAATGACATATCTTGAAATGTAGGTTTTTTCTTTTATTGACAAAGGAGTATATTAGTAACATTATCTGATTTTAATATGTAAGTCTAGATAAAAGAATTATTGTGAAACATCCAAAAGGGAAACGTAAACACTTATAAATTACAATGTAGTGAGAAAATATTTGCTTTCTGCCATTGGTTTAATTCTTTTTCTTTTACTACCTGTATGAAATGTAACTAGATTGTTATGTGTCCATCTATGAACTTTTTCATCAGGCGTCTTTGAACACCAAACGTATCACAACCATCAATAAACTACAAACATGACAAATCATCTCACGTTTTTCCTCACTAACCGCATACTTGGGCCCCTCATCCATAACTTGGCAATGAATTTTTTTCTTTTTAGACATCTACTATGGATTTATGCATGAATAGCGGGAAGCTTCTTATTAAATGATTATTTCATGTGCCTTGGACATTTAATAAAACGAGATGAGTGCAAGGCCTTGACATTATGTGTGGTGGCAATGCTATGACACTTGCATTAGTGCGAGCAAATAGTCCGATGCGTTTATACGGCATGCTTGCCATGATGCAATTGTAGATGTCGAGCTTGGTTTTAAAAAGCGCAATGCGGTCCGAGGCGGTAAGGGTCCTGGAAGCCGATGCGTGATGCGTGATGCTGATGCGCTCGCATCACGCACGTTACAGGAAGTACCTGAGAGGAAGTCTTGATTCTTTTTCATTCTTTTTTAGTGGCTCACTGATTGATTCCTAAACTAAATGACCAAGTGACCAACTAATTCTTTTTCATTTCAATTAAGTGCGTGATTTTTTAGTGGCTCACTGATTGATTCCTTGTTTGCATATTAAGATGGTAAGTTCTATCATCTTTAATATTCTCCTTTCTTTTTATAAACGAAATCATGATGCATTCGACTTCCCAGAACATGCTGGTCATGCATGATGGAATTTAATTACTTAAATGTTCCTCTGAAGTCTGCATACGTAGGGTTGAAATTTGCAGTATCTTCTGTAACTCGGTTGTAGTCACTTTTGTAAATTCAACTGGAAAGAAGCATTCGTCTGGTGGTTTATCCATGCCAATTGTAGTATTCTCTGTAGTTGTACTGATGCCATCTCACTTTTCTAATGCAGGGATGCCATAAGTTGCCAATCTTGTGAAGGTAAATAGTTTCTACACAAATCTATTTAAAAGATTTTCCTTTACATGTTCTATGTCGTAGCTTCTGGTTACTTTGTTTTGTTTAACCTGAAAAGTAGAAGGCTCATAAAGGTAACTATTGAGCAAACGAAAGAGTACGACAAGCCTTGGATCAACTTTGTGACCAACCTATTTGTTAAATGAAGAGAAATGTACAAAGAGTTGTTCTCTCAACCTCTGCAAAAAACCAAGGAGCCCTGATCCAATGGGGTGATTCTTGGAGAACAAGGCAATGATGCAATATATTAAGTAAAATGAGCTGGTGAGCCGAAATAGTAAACCAAAATGGAACATCAACTTGAACTACATAGTATATTTATCTAACAGTCTTCAAGTTGGATTGCAAAACCAAACATCTTCAACTTGTCATACATAGGATCAGTTTTTAGAGGTTTCTTCAAGATGTTTACGAGTTGGGCCTCGGAAAGCATCCAATCTGGTCTAGTAGTAGGTGGCCTGTGACATTATGAACCACATTTTATGAACATAAATAAATCAACCTCAATATATTTTGTATGCTCACAAAAAATATGTCAAACCAGAAGAAAATCTTCCAAACCCTAAAGCTATAAACCTTCACTTGTGACCAGGGGACAGGGAAAGCTTGAATCTAATTTCTACAATGAGAAATACAAACATAATTGAAATGCATAGGGTTCCTATGCACGAGGATGATGGGGATGCTCGTTGGTTTTCCTTCCTCGTACCTAAGTTAGATAGATGTTGTTTACACCATGGCCTAGTACTCACATTCTGTATTACACACTGTTCTAAAATGTGAATTAAGAGGTTGTTTAAGCATTTGCCTAGTCGTCTGGAATTGGAGTCACACTATCCCTCTAATATTCTTCTAAGCAGACTATTAAGCATCCTCTGCATGACTAAGCGATTATTAAGAGGCCATATGTTGGAATCAAGCTGACTGTGGGTTGGCAGAGAGATTGAATGGAGAGAAGGAATCTCAACTTCTAGAACACTATTTGCCCCTACCCGAAGCAAATTAGTTACTAATCCACTCACTATGCATGCTTGTAAATGTTGCCTGCACAAAAAAATAAATAACTGTAAACATGTAAGGCTAGCGTTCCTATATGCTGTTATGAGGATGTAGTCATAGTTGAGCTTGTATTATATTCATCTATCTAGGACAACAAACCCACAACACACACACACACACATATATATACTAGAAGGGTACTCGCACAATGTAGCGAGATACATTTCGATTTTAATGTTTTTTTGTCTCAGCCGATGTCATAATACAGATTTATGTGGTTTTGAGAAAGCGATAATATTTTTATTTTTGAATAAAATATAAATATGAAGATATATCATAAAAAATTGAAAAAAAAGTTATTGATATTAGTACCAAACTAATTATTTAAAATTTCTACTTTTTTGTGTATTTCTTTAATTAATTATTTTATTTTTAGTTTAATAATATATTTTATAAAGATAATAATAAAATATGTTGTTAGAACTCAATGATTATCTTAATTATATTTTTAGATTTTTTATATTTAGTATGAGATGTTTATCTGCAGTTAGTTACACGAATTCAAACATGAAGTTTTAATAAGTTGTACTTAAGCACAATTTACTTGTAATCTTAAATTTTAAGTAATATGCATCAATAAACAGTATTTCATGTATAAAAAAATTGTTTTTAAGAGTTTTTGTCAAATGCTTTATAATATAGTATATATATATATATATATTTAATTTAAGTTTAATAATGAAATAATTTATTTTTGGTTTAATA